CTTGAATTTTCAGTATTTTTTTTTTTTTTTGAAAGAGAAATGGGGAGGATTTATTAGAAGTAGCTATAGGATACACTCCAAGGATGGAGAGCTAGTGCTCAGAAAAATGAGGTGTGATACAGTTGGGAGCAGTGGTCTTTTATGTGTTTTGGGTGGTGGAATCTGTGGAGTCTGATAATTAAGCCTTAGGTCTTGTCTAGTGGGTAGGAGAGATTGGCCCCCAAAAGTGTGGTCCATTCATGGGTGAAAGAGGACCATTTGCAAATAAAAAGGGAATGGGCAAACCCCTTCTGAGGTGAAAGGGATTTACCCAGGTTTGCTATGTTTTGAGAGAAGAAAAGGAGAGAAAAAATAATAGGTTTATATCCTGAAGATGCAGGTTTTTTTTTTTTTTCTTAAAAATACAAATTTTAAAGTCAATTTCCTTGTCACCTGTCTACCTAGTTTTATTTCTTCTATCCTACCTCATTTCCCCCCTCTAAGACTTGGGTCCTGTATATTTTTAAAGGGATGCAGAAGGCCTGAGCGTTGGTCTTCATGTAACTGCATCAGCCTGAGGAAGGGTGTTAACCCTGCCTAGTCCTGACTAATCTAAACAAGACATATAATAATTGGTTCCATCCTTTAAAAAAACTATCAATCATTTTTTGGTAGTTGAAAAAGAGGGCAAGGACATATGAGACATTAGCGTAAAACAATAATGAATCATGTAACCAAAAAGAATAGTGCACAGTATCATAACCAGAAAAATGAGAACTTTCTCCCAGCAGGTTGTTCCAGGGAACCAACCTGCCAGCCAGTCATTAAAGCTTACGGCAGAGTCTGACATTACATGGATTTGTGAACACTGATCATGTGGTGGAGAAGACACATTTGCAAAATTGTCAGAAATGTACACATAACATTCCATTTTGATAATGGCACACATTCCAATTTGTGCTGCTGCTAGAATATCTAGCCATTGGTTTTGTAAAATTGCCTTTTTCTCATCATTTTTACTTCTGGATTTAATAATGAAACACCCCCCTTTGTGTATAGTTAGTAAGCGAGTCAGTGTGCCCTATTATTCTCAGGCCCTACTCATTGGCCACTATAAAGATAGTGGCCTGATAATCACACCGGTCTATCAATGCCGCAAGACTGGGAGGTTAGCTGGTTGATCTATGGCTTTTTCTCTTGGACCCATGGATACCCTACTGTACATCTTCCTATCCACCATGGAGGCAACTAAGGCCATAGGTTTGTACTACAGAGCCTCTAGGTACCATTTGGTACCATTTGCTGGCCATCTGCATTCCATCTCTTGCCTTTCATTCAGTAGCAAACAAGTCAGTGTGTTTTAGCCAAATAGTGTGATTACAGTCTTGGTTTGGAATCTACTCCACACTTTGAAAGGCATTGCTCCATGTATCATAAGTATGTTTTTTTGTTCCCAACAAAGGAATACTAGTTGGCTAAGGTGTCTCCTTTTTATATTTAGCCAAACTTTTGACTTAATATTGTTATGATTCTTTATAATGGGTTATACTTTCCTTTTCGGTATTAAAGACCAAGTCAAAGTGAGACCTGTGTTAATCAGAATTAATCTTGCTCCAGGTCAGTTCAGGCTTGTCAGGCATTATTTTTGAGGCCATGGCCAGAGCCTCTTAGTTCTTTCAGTTTTTCCTCTAACAGTTGTATCATCAGAATGAGTCACTGTTTTTGCTAGATCACATGACTTCCCTTGGAAGCATGGGAACATTCCTCTCTTTAGGGACCCTCCTTTTAGCACAGTGCACACTAATTGACTCCTGTCCTCTGGAGTCCATCAGTCTCCCTGCTCTAGAGGTTGAATGGTTTACCAGAGTTGTAGGGCTCCTATAGAGAAGTTCCGTCAGGTTCTGGGTCCTTGTTGATCTTGGAGGGCCCAGGGCCAAAATATTGGCTATCTTCTTACCCCAGTTACTTTTCTAACTTCGTTCTCCAAGCCTTAGATGTTGAATATCCACAAGGTCAGTTACACCAGTATTGAAGTGGGAGTGGTAATTTTAGTTATTATAATCTCATCTGGATATCGACTACTTTGAAATACAAAGTATAGCCAGAGAACTGCAATTTGTTTTAACCACTCATAGCTGTCTTAGATGTCAAATTCTTGTAGAAGTGCAATGTTTTACCGTGGAAATTTAAAATCAAGAGCAAACATAACATCTTAACATAACGATTATGCTGGCATTATCATACTAGAACCATTAGGTCTTTGGTTTTTTTAAATAGATGCTTGCTATGTAGGTCAGGCTGGCCTTGAACTCATCATGTAGTCCAGGCCTTAAACTTGCAGCAATCTCCCTGGCTCAGCCTCCCTAGCTCTTGGATCATAGGTGTGCACTACCATACTCAGATGAATTTTCAATTTTTTTTTTTTTTTTTTAAGCACCACTGAACTCGTCTCTCTTGATTTGTTCTGTTCCTTTGGCTTTGTTTTCATCAGGCTTTTCTGGTGTTCTCTTCATTTCTCTGGCCACTCTCTCATTGGTGAACTTCTCTGTCAGCCTTCTTTTATATGAATTTTATCATATTTCTGAGTGATGCTAGTTATTTCCCTAACATGTTGCAGGTCTTCTGAGTTATTTTCTTCATCCTTTTTGCTTAGCTTTTAAGCACAGAAGTACCCAAAACACTTCAAACTTTAGAATGTTCAAAACTGAATCTTTTCGTCTGCCTACACATACACTTTTCTTCTAATATTCCTGTGGTCATCGTAACATCCATATGTTCAACCCAGGAACCTGGGGGTCATCCTTGGTTCTTCCCTCCTTCCTTTCACATACTAACCCATTACAGAGTATTAGTGATATCACTCTTTAATATTATCTACATCCATTCACTTTTTACATCCCCACTGCTACTACCATAGTCTAAAACATTATCAGCTCTTATCTGGAAAACTGCCATAGCTCCTACACTGGTTTTTCTGCTTGCTTTATCTCTAAGCCATTTTCTGTACTATCACTGGCATAATCTTTTTAAAAAAAGGCTATTTTCTCAAAATCTTTTATGACTTCCCATTACCTCAAAGACTGCCTAATCATAGCTCCTACACTGGTTTTTCTGCTTGCTTTATCTCTAAGCCATTTTCTATACTATCACTGGCATAATCTTTTTTAAAAAAAGGCTATTTTCTCAAAATCTTTTATGACTTCCCATTACCTCAAAGACTGCCTAGTGAGTTCAAATGTCAGCCTTGCTTTTAAGATTTGTGACCAGTCTCTCACTTCTTTCTTTCCTTCCTCTTCTCAACTCTTGGGTGTTGGTTAACAGATGTTTATGGATTTTGGCAAGCCTTGGATTAAGTGCTTTGTATCTAGTACAGTCCTTATTACCAATACGGAATGTTCAAAAGAGTAGAACAAAAAGTTCTACTCGTATTCCCTTCTTAGCTTTAGCGCATACTGTTCCCTCTACCCAGAACATATTGTGTTCTCTCACTAACTCCTGCTTTTTCTTTAGGACACGGATCACCAAGTTATGGCCCACAGGCCTAATCTAGCACACCACCTCTTTCTATGAGTTTTTTGGAACATAGTCATACTTGTTTTTGTATTGTCTGTGTCTGCTTTCATACTGCAGTAGCAAAGTGGAACTCTTGCAATAAAATCCATATGGTTCAGAAGCCTAACTTATTTACTGTCTATCTTTTTATATGAAAAGGTTATGCCATCTACCTGAAGCATTAATTTGAGCATCAGTTATATAAGTTTTCATCATCAAAAATGTTTTGCTTGATTAAAATATTTGCAAGCAGGGGCCATCTTTATTGCTTATATACCTGGGTCTTAGTTCTAATCATCTGGTAGATACTCATAAATACTTGGATAAATAAATAAAGATACCTTTAGAAAACATTTTACTCAATGAAATTCTAAAGTCAATGCCTTTTAGTAGTATAATTTTTCATAAATATAAACTTTGTTTTTTAGAGGTAAACAAGAAGTTGAAAATTTGAAGGAAGAAGTGGAAAGTCTTAATTCTTTGATTAATGACCTGCAAAAAGACATCGAAGGGAGTAGGAAAAGAGAATCTGAGCTACTACTGTTTACAGAAAAGCTCACTAGTAAGAATGCACAGCTTCAGTCTGAAAACAATTCTTTGCAGTCCCAACTTGATAAGCTTTCTTGTAGTGAAAGTCAGTTACAAAGCCAATGTGAACAAATGAAACAAATAAACATTAATTTGGTAAGTATAAATGTCCATTTAACTCTTACAACAACATAGCAGGAAGCATAGGTTAAAGTTCCCTAGCACCATAGAAGTGTAGTTGTAATTAATTTAAGCTCCTTTCTGTTGACACTTTCTGATTTTAAATGCTGTAAAAGTGTTAGTTTTTCCTTTTAACTGATAAAATTAACTAAAATTTCTCCCTAAAATGAATAAGAATATTTCACTTTTAAGAATTAAAAACATCATAGTTTCTGTTCCTAACTGAAATCTTTTTTTTTTTAAGTAGTAATTTAAATTTCTGGATATTTAAATATTTTCATAGTTCCAAATTATGAGTGTCTTCAAGTTACTCATAAAAATAATTTGTCATTGAGACTCCAAAAGTTCAAAGCCTTGTACCTCATGCTGCTTCGCGTATGTAGAATGGACCCATGAGTGCGTCTCCTACCTTGGTATGTGAGGGTTTCAGGGAGCTCAGTAAACAAAACCTGATATGGAGTAATAGAGGAATCTCTGCTGTGCAGGATTTTATGTTTTTAAAGTTTTAAACTGTGAGCGATAATGAAAACAAACATTAAAGCTGGTGTTTTGTATCTTACTTACTATTCAGGAAAGTAGACTGCTAAAAGAGGAAGAACTACGAAAAGAGGAAGTCCATACTCTGCAAACGGAACTCACTTGTAGACAAACAGAAGCTAAAGCTCTGAGCGTGCAGGTGGAGGAACTGAAGGATGAGCTCGTAACTCAGAGACGTAAGCAAGCCTCTAACATCAAGGATCTCACCAAACAGCTTCAGCAAGGTATAAATTCTTCCACTTACACCTTGAATGTGTGTTTCTTTTAATCATTAAAAATGTTCTTGAGAAAAATACATTGTATTCCATATTCTACCGAATTAATTACAGCCATGTGTTCTTTTAATGTATTAATTTTCATAGACCAAATTGCTAACCTTGCAATTCCATAAATTGCTGTCTTCTGTGCTGAGGCGTTTTTATCCAATTTGTTTCTTTATAAATTTTAAACATGTATTACTCTATTTTATGGATATGAGAAAACATAAGAAAAATAGAAATATATAGACAGACATGGTGGCACACACCTGTGATCCCAGTACTTTTAGAGGCCGAGACAGGCAGCTCAGGCAACTTGATGACCTAGCGAGAACCTGTCTCAAATAAAGAATGAGAAAAGGGCTGGGAGTGTAGCGCAGTGCAAATGCCCTGGGTTCAGTTCCCAGTACTACTCCCCTCCCCCTCCAAAAAAACCACTAATGTTTAATTTTAAAAGATTTGTCTTTAAATATAAGTATAAATATCCATTCCAAGTTTCTCTCTACACATGCATGGGAATTGATTTGTGTACTGTTTGGGGTTCCTGGGCCAAACATCTCTATTGATTGAGACCTAACCCTCCACCCAGTTCTCAGGAAACTGACCCAGAAAGGTTACAGATTACCTGAACACAACAGTTGACAAATAGGATTGGAACCCAGGTTTCTTTCATTCAAAAATTCATGAGTGTTTCTGCTATGTACTTGAGATACAAAGATGAAAAAGATATAAACTCCAACTTTCCATTCTCTACTATTCTCTATATGGTTTTGTGTTAAAATGTGGTGAAATATAGTGATATAAAATACTTAGCATTTTTAACATAAATATATGCAGCTATTTGCTGGAAGAATTCCATTTGTTTTATATATGAGTATAGTTGAAGGGAAATTTTTGATACTAGGAGGATCTTCAGGACTCTAAAATTGAATTTCAGTGTAACTTAGTGTGTCAGGGTCAGTTAACATGTTGTAATTTCTGTGTGTTTTGTATTTGACCTATACATTTCTAAATGTTACTTTATGTGAGTGATACCTGTAGCCTTCCATCTCAGGTATGTGTTCAGGAACTTTCTCTTGTCTTCTCTGCGATTTTGCCCAAGTCCTTTTAGCAACTAAAACTCAGAGACAAGGGAAATGCTCATGGTCATTGTTGTAAGTAATCCATATCTTTTGTCTGTAGCACGAAGAAAATTAGATCAGGTTGAGAATGGAAGCTATGATAAAGAAGTTAGCAGCATGGGAAGTCGTTCTAGTTCCTCAGGTAAAAACTAATGGTTTTAGTTGTTATTTAGTGATTATAAAAATAAGTTGTATTTTTGGTTTTAAAAAGTATTGATATACTTTGTTGCATTTTGAAGTATAAAAAAAGAATTGCATAATTATAAAAAATGTTTCTGATTAAAATGTTTAATGTCTAATCATTATCCAGGATTTCTGGTTTGTCATGGTCTTCTACATAATGTTTCACCACCTCCTTTTTTATTTTCTGTATCTCTTTTTTCTATATATCAACTTCTTTTAATATCTAAAATTCAAATTTGTATCCAGCCAGAGCATTTTGGTGCAGTATGGACCCTCTTTTTCTTTTATATTTTAACACCTAAGGAGTAATGAAATGGTTGTCATTATATAGTATCAGATTTTTGTATATGTAGTCCTCCCTCAGTATCTTCAGGGGATTGGTTCTAACACTTTGCCTCCTGTGGATACCAACATACGTGCTCAAATTTTTGATGTAAAATGCTGTAGTACTTGCACATAGCCTATACATATCCTTCTATATACTTTAAATCATCTCTAGATTACTTATAATATCCAATGCAATGTAAATGCTATAAAAATAATTGTTACACTCTATTGTTTAAGGAATAAGGAAAAAGCCTGTAGGTGTTAAGTACAGGCACAGTTTTTTTCTGATATGTGATTGGTTGAATATATGTGTGTTACTCGTGGCTATGGACCAACTGAGTAGACACGTGATATTAAGGCACTACGCTACACTGTCTCCCAGGAGTTGTACATTAGTGGGCAAAACCAACTATTACAGTAGCGGAAAAATGTGTGATAGAAAACACAGATTTGAAATAACTGCTATGTCTTCAGATCCCAGCTCTGCCATTTATTAATTGTATAATGTTGACTAAGGTATATTACTTGTCTTTATAAAATGAGGTTTTACTACACTTGATCTCAGTCAGAAGGCCAAGAAGCTGTTAAAATGAAGTTTTTAAGCAAAGCTTTGTTAGGTAGAGGAACAGAAATCTCCCTGATGCTGGTAAAATAAGAGTTTACACTCATATAAGGCCTACTATATGCACAATTCTAAGTGATTTAATAGATTAACTCATCCAGATGAGTACAACAGTCATATGAAATTAATAATACCACTATTTCCTTTTCAAGATGAAGCAGCCAAGACATTGAGAGTTAAATGTCCAAAGTCACACACCTTAGTAGAGCAGTATGCAGGCTGGCTCCAGAACTTGACTCATTATTTTTTATCCTCCTTTTTTCCTCTTTCACATTCCTTCTTCCCATAATTTTTTCTGCCTTTATAATACAGGCATACCTTGGTACTCATCAAAACATGTCACATCCAAGACTTGTCCCATTTTGATGAGAAAAAATGTTGGCACTTGCTTCAGCTTCAAAGTAGCTCATGAACAGTGTAGAATCCCCACATACTCGGCTGTGTACTTTCTCCTACTTTAAGTGGTAACCGTGGGTTGTAAAGAGTTTGTGATACCACCAAAGCTGAAAGACTTACATTAGCCTTGGAAAAGGCTAATATCAGCCCAATAGAATGTTCAAGTTCATCACAGTTTTATTTCTAATTACATTATTTCTCATAGGAAGAATTCTTTTGGCACTCATCAGTTTGGGCACAGATCATGAGTTCCAAAAGAACCGATACCATGGTATGACCTGTCCTTTAAGTCTGATGTGACTTTATACTTGTTACTCCGACTTGTTTCTCTACCGCCACGTCTCATCTCATACATTATTTATTCCAGTGTCATTTTCAGATATTCACTGTACGGAGTTAGACATAGAACACCTCAGGTCAGTAATGGTCTGAGTTCTTGTTTCTGAATATGCTGATGATAAAATATAAAAGGGTTGGGTCTCTCTGTTGTATCGCTCAGGTATAGGACGAGAGATGACTCCAGATTACACATGATATCTAAACTGGTTTTCCCCTCTTCCCTTTCTCTTCCCCTTCCCCTTCCGCTTCCCTTTCTTTTCTTTTTCAGGTTCCCTTAATGCACGAAGCAGTGCAGAAGATCGATCTCCAGAAAATACTGGTTCATCAGTGGCTGTGGATAACTTTCCAGAAGTGGACAAGGCCATGTTGATTGAGAGGATAGTTAGGTTGCAGAAAGCACATGCCCGGAAGAATGAAAAGATAGAATTTATGGAGGACCACATCAAACAATTGGTGGAAGAAATTAGGAAAAAAACAAAGTATGTATTATTATGGTAGCATAATCTGTGTTCAAAATACTATTTTTCACATGTATATACACTATACATACATACATACATACATATATATATATAGAGAGAGAGAAAGATTTTTTTGTTTTTTGTTTTTTTGGTATGGGATCTTGTCATGCTGGCCAGGTTGGCCTCAACCTCTTCCCGCCTTAATCTCCTGATTAGCTGGCACATAAGCACAAGCTACCTTTCCTAGCTTAATCATTTTTATAGCCATTCCGTTTCCAGCCTGATATGATCATCTATTATATTCTAGGTTTTGAGAATATAGAGATGAAAGAAAACACAGGCCTTTCTTTTAATGTGATATAGAGTTTGGTACATGTTAATTTCTTTTACATAATAAAATAATTTTGGATTTTAAAATGATAGTGCTCTACTTAGTTTTTATTTTTATAACTCTGAATCTGAAAGCTATATGGGGTTTAGACTTCTTTCTTGTTGGGCAGGACATAATAGGGTAGTCAGTCAGGCTCATACTAGTACAAGACCCTATGCTGTGGTTTATAACATTTATCTCATTGATTCCCTGCAACCCCTCAGTAAGAAAGCAAATTCTCTGACTGCATGTGAGTCACTGGAGCCTTGGTCAGATCACTGAGTCAGGCAGGGCTACCATTTATCCTGTGAGAGAGACACCTAGAGCTGGAGATCCAAACCCAGCTCTGACTGACTTTAGAGCTTATACTATGGCCAGGCTCCTCTCACAATATCATACTCACTTAAATAAGAATTGATAGTTTTATATTACAGGTCTTTTCCTAGGCTCCTTTAATTTCTATGTAAAATAAGTTTAAACTTACAGAAATGTTTGTCTGTGGCTTTTTAAAGGAAAGTAAGTAGCTGAGTGTGATGGCTCATGCCTGTAATTCTAGCCCTCAGGAGGCTAAGGCAGGAGGATCTCAAGTTGAAGCCCAGCCTGAGCTACATAGAGTTCATGTCCAGCCTAGACTTACAGTGAGTGAGACCTTGCCTCAAAAAACAGAGATAGATGGTAGGTAGGTAGGTAAATACATAGATATATAGATAGATAGACATAGATGTGTTTAATAGGAAAATAGAAAATATTAACAAATCAAGAGAAATAGAAATAGAAAAGCAGTGTTTATCTTTCATCTAAATACTGTGATAGGACAAGTGGGATAGTTTAAGCAAACACTTGTATAAGAAAAATCATTTTCTAATAGAGTTTCACTTACTAGCCTGATGTTTCTTTTATGGTTATGATTCTTGCAAATTTCAGTATTTAAAATTCTGCAGATATACAATTGGTAAGTGTCATTTTGTTTTGCAGAATAATTCAGAGTTACATTTTACGAGAAGAATCAGGCACTCTTTCTTCAGAGGCATCTGATTTTAACAAAGTTCATTTAAGTAGACGAGGTGGCATTATGGCATCTTTATATACATCCCATCCTGCTGATAGTGGATTAACTCTGGAGCTGTCTTTGGAAATCAACAGAAAATTACAGGCTGTTTTGGAGGATACGTTACTAAAGAATATTACATTGAAGGTATTTGTATTTCTCATTCACTTAACAGTAGGTAAACATGGTAAAACTGGGCCTCGTCTGTAGTCTCCTCGAACACTTCAGCTGATTCCATTGGGCAAGATAGCTGTCCTACACAGACATGTAATCTTAGTATTTTTCTCTTTTGAAAAGTTCAGTTTTTTAAATTAAATCAGCTTAGTTAGTATATGGATACCAAGGTAAGCTGTATACTTTAGATGGATAGCTTTTGGCATACATTATAATTAGTTACAGTTAGTTGCTAAAACGTAATTTTCTAAAATTGAAGCATTTTAATGTATTTTGCTGCTTTTATTTTTTGCAGCTATTATCTGATCCAACTATTTTTGATATGTATGGACCTTGATCTTAATGGATTTTAAATCTAGCAAGTGTTTATGCATAAAAGTTTTGTATGCACAGAAAGTTTTCATAGTTGCAGGAAAAAGATTAAATATGACTTTGAAATGGACATGCCTACTTTACCAAAAATGTATGTCTAGTTTATCTCAGCGTTTACAACTCTTTTGGTTTCAAAATTCAGACAAAAATAGTTACAAATGAACCTTTTTATTGTGCTTAGTTCTCTTTTCTCTATTTTCCCTAATTATTAAAGGAAAATCTACAAACACTTGGAACAGAAATAGAACGCCTTATTAAACACCAGCATGAACTAGAACAAAGGATTAAGAAAACCTAACACAGAGAGGCCAAAGCCACATGGGAGCAGGTGCCACTGACCAGTGTTGTCGGAAACTTCCCTGCTTTTTGTGTCATCCACTCACATATTTGTTTTGCTTCATCTGTATAAAAAATAGCCTTTCACAAATGGATGCATTGCTGTGTATGCTGTAAGAGTGTAGGCTTTGATGAAATTTGTTTTTCTATGGTTGCAGTGCTACAGCTGTCAGTGAATCGAAACAACTTAATTTGCTCATAGTCGTATAAGTGCTGAGCATTGCTGTAAGGGCTTCAAAAAATTCCTTCTCCATGTTTCTTCTGTTTAAAATATATAATGTCAGAAATGACTCATCTTCTTAAAAGTATGCATAGAAAGATATATTAGTCATTCAGTAATTCACTATTTCTGTAACACCAAGAAAACTACAGAAGTGATAAGAATGTTTATGTTTTTACCTGGCTGTGGGGCACCTGCCAGGAGCCCCAGTTACTCACAAGGCTGAGGTGTGACGATCATTTGAGCCCCAGAGTTCAGAGCCAGCCTGGGTAACACAGCAAAACCTTATCTCAAAACAAACAAAAAATTTTAAAACTCCACCTTTTTTATGTTTTAACACTCCGGTATAACATATAATTGTGTTTGAGGGATGCGTTTAAATACTTAAATCTTTCAGTTCAGTTCATGGAAACTGAACTTACAGAACAGGCAGCTGTTGGTAACTAGCAGTGATCACATATTATATGTCTCTTGTCAGTTTTCCTTCTCTCTGTACATGTTTTCAGATTTGGTTTGAATTAATCATTGAATTCTAAATCTCGTTAGTTTCTTAAAATGTTATTTTTAGTAACATATTCACTTAGAAAATTGCTGTGGACTTCACTTGTTTTTAAAATGTGAAGTAGATCAAATCATTAGAAAAGGGAGATGAATACTACTTTGACATGGAAATACGTTGGCTTTACTGACATGAAGATAAACATAATAGTGCTTAAGATATTTATGCAGAACCAGTTTCCCAAGAGAAACCAGTGTATGGCACTGTTAATCATTTCATCAGAGCGTCATTCTTCACTACTGACAGTTAATTACATATTACAGTGAAGTGACCATGCATTTCCCCCAAATGCGATGTTTCTGTGTATTTATTTTAATATATGTCTAGAATCAAGGGAATTTTAGAGCTAAATTTTTGCATGTTCTTGGATTTTTTACATTATTTATTCAAGATGTACACTTAAATCTTGCCATAGTATTAATATTTGCCTTTGAATTTCTCTCACCTTTTATAATTTCTCACCTGTTGTAATTTCTTTCACATTGCATGATATCCAGATCGTTAGTACATGGGGTACCTGGCTCATATGCAGATGTTGCAGCAAGCCTTGTTCTCTTTTAGATCCCCCCCTACACAATTAAGAGAAATGAGCTTTGGATGAAGCCTTAAAGAATTGTATGGGCCCTTAAGTTGGACTCATGATGGAAATGTCCTTATAATGTGTTTTAACATTTTTTTAAAAATCAACCTAACATTGTTTAAAGTGGTAATTTACTAAAGATTTGGTGATTCTGTGTAGTGTCTTTTTCTATGTATTGAGTTATATGTTGTCATCCCAAAACAAACCTCTTTTTACTTCAGAGTGAAAGTACACATTCAAAGATGTTTTATTTTTAAAATAGATGTAAAAAGTATTAGTCTTTTTTAACATGTCTTGCTTTTTTATTAATAATTTATCAAAATAAGAGGGGAAGTGCAATAAAATCTGAATTATTTTCCCATTTGTTTCTAGACACACTATTGAAACTCCAGAAGTCTACAAGAGTAGGAAACATACTAAACCTTTTTAGTTTCTTGTGTGATACAGATTTAAAAATTACAATTTTTTTCTCCAAGCCACAGAATATATATAATAGAGACCAAACAGTGATCAGATCCATCATGTCCCGTGCCTGTGCACTTCTAAAAATACATACATTTATTACAGACAAAAGAACATTCCAGTATTCATATTTTTGCCATGACCTACTTGGGGAAATTTAATGATACAAGTTTCAGAAGAAAGTTATTAAAAGCCATATTTTGACTGTATTAAATTTTTTTCTTCATAAATTTAAGAAACTATAGAAAAGTTTTTTAAAAAATGCTTCCTTTTTGCTCTTCAGTATCTACTGCATCCTTTTGTATACGGATCAGGGCTGAGCAAAATAATTACAAAAAATGTTCATCTGTCAGAGACTCCTGTTTCTAGCTTCATTCACAGACAAGTTGGTATAAGGATTTAGGGGCCCTCAATGTTACTATATTGAATATATGGAGAGAAAATGGATGACAGGGATAGACCTGAAATCTATGGAGAAATTTGTCCAATATGTTCATTATTAAGTGTATACATTAAAGGCCATTTTGGCTAGTTAGTACTATTTCAGTGTCTTTGAGCAGGAGATTTTGTCCCTATGAAGTGTACAAATATATATATATATATATATATATATTTGTACACTTCATAGGTTCTAATTTGAAAGTGTTACTTTCTGTGACTTCCTTTTCCCTATACCACTTCCAAGTATAGTCTGTTAAAACAGTTTTAAGGATTTAAAAATGGTTGGATTAGACAGAATGAATGAATTTGAACTTTGATAATATTTTTTGGTTTTATTTTATACCTTTGTAACCATTTAAAGTGATTTCAGGCTATGATCATGTTATCTATTCACTTAATAAACACTTTGAAAACCTACCACTGTCAGGCACCAGACAGGGTACTGTGATTGCATTGATGAACAGACTGTATAGGGCACTTCTTGTCCTTGTGCAGCTGACGGTGTAATGACGGTAGTTAGGAGGCAGTAGAAGCAGGACTTTGGCCTTTTAGAGCTCATGCCAGCCCCTTTTGTACTCTGCTGAGAAGAGCATTCATCTACTTGGGCAGGTAATGGCCCGGAAATCTCAGTGTGGCACGAAGCTTCAGAAACTGAATCCTGGCTGAAGCTTACTGGGAGAAAATTGCTGTTTTCATAGTGGTTCAGCACATTTCATAACTGCTGTCATAGTTTGTTTATTCTTAAAGGAAAAACATCCAAAGATCATAAAAAGGTTTCTACCATTTTAGTAAATTAGTGAAGATAAATTTGTATTGTCGTGCATGTTTGCAAACTTTGTTTTGCAGTATATTAATTTTTTTCTAAAGATTTTTACATAAAAATTTAGATCAGATTTACCATTGGAAGGAAAAAAATTACAAATTATTAATGTTGTAAATGTAAGGTATGCTACCCTGCTGGAAATATTTTTATAAATCATGTTGTCATTTATGCCTTATGAATGTTGACTCCAGTAGCCTTTTTTTCAGTAACTTTTCTTTTTTTAATAAAAGATTATTAACTTTTAACTAACACCAGTTGGTGGCACTAGAAACCTGAACGAGAGAAATAGTTGAAAAAGCATCCAAACATGAACTTTTAGGAAAATAAATGAAAAATAAAATTGCATATTAAAAATGTATTATTCTTCTGGAATGAAATTCTTTTTTAAAATGCATATGGCTGTCCGTCTTGACTATGATGACAAAACTGGTTTATCTTCCAGAGTACATATGTTTGCATTGTATAAATAATCTTAATTTGATTACACTGTTCATTTTGTAAATATGATTCTGTATAAAATGAAGCTTTTCAAGATAATTCTATGTATATATTATTAAATAGGTAATGCCTGTTTACCAACTTGTATTTTAATGGCATCTTTGATTACAATTTCTTTATATGTACTACTTACCAAAAAACCTCTTCTCCAGACTGCTGGCAAGGTTGATTCAAATTGCTTGAATATCCTTTTTTAAACTGGACTGGGAATTTTTGCTTTCCATATTTATCTTCATCCTACAAATACTGAAATCATGATTAGAAGTTAATGAACAGTAGTAGGCAGATTGAGTTGAATGCCAGGTTATATTTAAAACTTTTGTTTAAATTACTGATTGCAAAACTTGGCATTTTATGAAATGCCCTGAGCCTATAGGCGTGTGAAAATTTCTTATTGAACTTGATAACCCAATGATGTATTCAAATTTTCCACAAAACTATGGAACTTTCCAAGTTGTCTAGCTTTAATAATAAAGAACTAGTTATGTGCTGAAATGGCATTAATTTCATCGAGTTAATATATGTGAAATATATTTCTCACTACAAAGCTATTTTCTGTTTCTCTCACAGTCCTGGCACTTAAGTCATACCACATTGCTTAATCAATTCATTCTTAGGTGCACCTAAAATCAGAACTTGTACATTAAAACTAAAATTATAAGAGTAGGGCATGCTTTCCTGATATCCTCAAGAGTTTGGATTTGTTTGCAAGAGAAATGAATACATAGGGAAAGAGGGTTAATTGGGGAACGAGATGCTGGCTGGAATCTTGATTTAGGTCCATGTAACTGGAGGCTTTTAGCAGCACCTTTCCATCCTTCAAATCAGTAACAACAGGAAGTTAGGTTGTAAAACCGCTCCCATGAATATATGCAACTCTTGTTTTCCATAATAAAGTCACCTTAATTGATGAATGTAAGTGGGTATCTGGTCTTTTAGGCTCAGCAACTGAAGACACCCTCTGGCTGACCAGTGCTCATTTTGAGTTTCACTGACTCTGAGAACATAATGCCTACAAGTGATGTTCCTGCTCCTATAGATACAAGTTCCACTGAAACATTCTTAGGATTTAAAACCTCTAGGTGGAGAGGAGCATACATTTAAGAGATATTCTATTTCTCAAGAATTTCTGGGCTTTTGAGTGTCCAAAGGCCACACTTGTATCCTACTACCTTCCCTGGTCGTACTCCAAAAAAAAAAAAAAAAAAAAAAAAAAGATGCATTCAAGGGAGGACTCTTTTAAGGTAGTGCAAAGACAGTTTAGCAGGCTGGGGATTTGGCTCAGTGGTCCCCCTGCCTGCCTTGCAAGCGCAAGGTCCAGAGTTTGATTCCCAGTACAACAAAAAGGAAAACTCCTGAAAGTTTAGGATCCACCAAATTAAACTCAGCTTGTCGATATTCAACTTCTAGATACAGTAATAGGGGTAATATATTACATACTAGACTGACTTTCCACATCGAGTTCACTGCATCTTTAGTAACTAATAAAAAAGGCTCAAGGACAGGCAGGAAGTAAGTTCTGTGTATGTTCCTCCCACTTTGTCCCAAGAAATAAATGTCCATTAAACCTTCCACACTACTTAATGTTTCTCAGATCCCTCATATGAATGTCCCCAAGCCGTGTGGCCCTGGCACCTGTGTTCTCAGCCCGGAGCTGTGTTGCTGGCCACCTCTGTGGGAAAATCAGGGTCTTTGTCTCTTCAGTTCCACTGCAACCTCTAGAGATCCCATCTCTTCCCAAAAACCAGTCCCCCAGCATCCATGGCAAAGGAAGCTGCTGCTTTAGGTTCTCACCTGGTTGGTTCCCATGTTGTGTTTTGTGTTCATTCAGGTGATGGTGGAGGGGACTGTAGGAAGAGCTTGCAGGGTGCAGCGGGCTGAAAGGGGTCTGTTCTTAGTATTTCTAATTGGTAAAAATCGTATTTCGTATGGTGAGTTCTTTCTGAAGGACTAGTTGCATTTTGTGAGTGAGAAAGGCTTTGTGTGCTTCCCTGAAAACACTACCTTTTCTTTTATATGGTTACATGCTTTCTAAGCTACATGGGACCAGCTTTGAAACAAAAAAGTTGAAGCAAAAGTTTCAATCCCTTTCAAGAAGCTGCGTGATCCATTTCACAAAAGTGTTCTGAAGTTGAGTGGTTAATGCAGCAGGTACTTCTACAACTGCAAAATACGAATGTTGCTGGTGGTTTTTAAAAAGCATATGCTTCCCACAGTTTCCCAGTTCAGCAACAACTTGAAACAGCGCGAGAGAAAATGTCTTCCTTCTGGCCCATCTCGCCCAACCCCTCAGCAGACGTACACGCAGAGCAACATCCAGAACGCTATCAATTGTCCAGAGCAGGTTTGGGGCTGAGAACCTGGGTTTCCTCATTCACCAGTTCCTTCGTGTCTTGTTTTGATGAGCTTTTATTTACCAAGTCAGTTACGTGAGGAACAGCTGGAAAGGAAGAAAAGCAATATTCCTTGTCACATTTGTCAAGTTCCAGTTGATTTTTTATCAGTACATGTTTGTTGTACATAATGATTACATTTATCTTGGGGAGTTGGAATATGTACACATCTTAATTCTTTTTATTGCCCTCCCTGTCCTCCCTCCCCACTCCCTCCAGCTCTTTCCCATTTACAAAAGATCTATATTCATTGTTTTTCCGTCCTTAATTTTTTGTTGTTGTTGTTGTTTTGAGACAGGGTCTCACTATGTAGTTCAGACTGCTCTGGAACTCACTGTGTAGCCCAGGCTGGTCGCGAACTCACAGTGATCCTCCTGCTTCAGCCTCCTGAGTGCTGGGATTATAGGCGTGTGCCACCACACTGGGCTCCCCTGTAATTCTTATTTGCATTTCCCTTCCCTCCTCCATCTCTTGTTCCCCCATCCATTTGAAAAAGATCTTCCCTACTTCCCACTTATCTATCCTATGATCCTCCTGCTTCAGCCTCCTGAGTGCTGGGATTATAGGCATGTGCCACCACACTGGGCTCCCCTGTAATTCTTATTTGCATTTCCCTTCCCTCCATCTCTTGTTCCCCCATCCATTTGAAAAAGATCTTCCCTACTTCCCACTTATCTATCCTCTATTTTGTGTGTCCCCTGCACCCCATATGTGTGTAGTTTCTTGTATAAGAGAAATGTGCTATTTAAGCTTATGTATCTGACAATGTTAAGTTCTGAAGTTGCATCCAGTTACCTATAGGTGCCCTGGGTTATCTTTATGGCAGAATAGAACTCCATGGTGTCTGAATTCTGCATCTCCATGTGTCCTGCCACACTGTGGCTCAGATGTGCTCCATCCCACGTGCTGTGGACTGTGTCATGTGAAGGCAGGCTGGTGGCCTTCAGGATACTGTGAACTATTTCGTAAAGAGTATTCCACAGTGACTCAGTGTCACTTGGTACCTTATGATTGGAAGTTAGACTAGAGATCCAACAGCCTAACGCTTAGACATATATGTTCTTAATAAAGGGAGGTGTTATGGAAAGATGCGCTCTGCGTCAGTCCTGGCAACGGTTACTGTGAATGTGTTGGGTTGGACGGGGTAGGAGGGACATGGTTTTGTGGAGGGCTTAAACTTCTGATGTTTAAAAGAATACATTTGTATATTATGTAATTTAAAGTTGACTTGTGAAAGTTAGAAGAAAATCCCATCCATCTTAAGAGACTGTTGATTGTGCTGAGATTTTTTTAGTTTTTTAGATCACCTGCTTTCAGGTTGCTTAACAACAGATGAAACTTCCTGATGAAACTGCACGGCCCATCCCACAAGGAAGGTAAAAGGCGCCCTTCATGATTCTAGGTACTTGTTCTCTGCGTAGGAAAAGTAGCT